GATGCACGCCCAGCAAACTCAGCACCCCGCCCCTAAAGGAACGGCCCTCCCAGGGCGCCCACTTTCCGCACCCCCAAGGCTGGTCGCCTCCCTCCCACCCGGAGCTGCTCTAGTAAAGCTCCCACCCGAGGCCTGACTGAGGCTCTTGAACTCTCCAAATTCCGGAAACCGGAAGGGGGTGGCTCTCGGGGTGCAGCCCGCGCGCTCTGATCCCCGAATCTGTCCCCAGTGCAACGCCCACCCCTGCTTCCCCCGCGTCCGCTGCGTCAACACCAGTCCCGGCTTCCGCTGCGAGCCCTGCCCGCCCGGTTTCAACGGGCCTACGCACGAGGGTGTAGGCCTGGCTTTCGCCAAGGCAAACAAGCAGGTGAGGGGTGCGGGTGCCCCTTCTCAGAGGTGGGAAGTGGGGAACGTCTCGGTCCAGCCTCGCTCCACTGGGTGGGAGGGCTGGGGACAGCTCTGGGGCCAATCAGGGCTGGAGCAGGGTCCAGAGAGACACGCGCGCAGGAGGTGCGGATGGGGTGGGAGGTGGGAGTGTGATCCCTGCGTCCCCTCCTCTAGGTCTGCACGGACATCGACGAGTGTGAGACGGGGCAGCACAACTGCGTCCCCAACTCCCTGTGCATCAACACCCGGGTAAGGTGGGAAGGGGTAGGGGGTGGCGGGCAGGGGCCCCGGGCCCGCAGCGCGCTGACAGCTGCCGGGCGCAGGGCTCCTTCCAGTGCGGCCCGTGCCAGCCTGGTTTCGTAGGCGACCAGGTGTCCGGCTGCCAACGGCGCGCGCAGCGCCTCTGCCCGGACGGGACGCCCAGCCCGTGCCACGAGAAAGCGCACTGCGTCCTAGAGCGCGACGGCTCGCGCGCCTGCGTGGTGAGTGCGGGCGCGGGAGGGGCGAAGAGCCGGGGGAGCGGCCAGCCTGGGCACCAACTCACCCTCCCCGCAGTGCGCCGTCGGCTGGGCTGGCAACGGACTCGTCTGCGGGCGCGACACCGACCTGGACGGCTTCCCCGACGAGAAACTGCGCTGCCCTGAGCGCCAGTGCCGGAAGGTGAGTGGGGTCGAGGTGGGGGAGTGGCTTGGGAGACGGTGGGCGTGACTTGGAGAATGGGCGTGGCTTAATAGACTAGGGCTTCATTTTGGAGACCCGAGGGCTTGATGTGGCATGAGGACGTGGCTTAGTAACACTTGGGTGGTGCTGAAGGTCACGCCCTTATGCCACCGGTTCCCAACCACTCCCAGGACAACTGCGTTACAGTACCCAACTCAGGGCAGGAGGATGTGGACCGCGATGGCATCGGAGACGCGTGCGACCCGGATGCAGATGGGGACGGGGTCCCCAATGAGGAGGTAAGGCCGTGGGCGGGTTCTAGTCGAGACGGGCGTGGCCGGTGGGCATTCCACTGGGGGCCTGGTCTGCAGATCTCTACCCCTCCCCCGCCCTGACCTCCAGGACAACTGCCCCTTGGTGCGCAACCCAGACCAGCGGAACACGGACAACGACAAGTGGGGCGATGCATGCGACAACTGCAGGTCCCAGAAGAACGATGACCAGAAGGACACAGACCGAGATGGCCGGGGTGACGCCTGTGATGACGACATCGACGGCGACCGTGAGCGCGGCTGGGCTGGAGCTTAGTGGGTTTTGGAAGCCCGGTGGATGAGCTCACCGGGGCACTCTGGGTCCTGGACCCCTCTGGCTGGGGATTTAAAAATGGGACTTGGTCCCTAGGAAGTTGAGGAGGGAGGAGAATGGGAGTGGCAGGGCCTTTGGAGGAGGGGGAGGTGCCCCTTGTCCAGGGCTGCAGGCCAGGTTCTGCTGCTTTTCCCACGGGCCTTGGGAGGCCATGACTGGGTACCCGGTTTGGGTACACAGGGAGGGAGGCTGACCCCCGGCTCCATTGCTGAGGCTCCCAGGGCTGCCCTATGTCCCAGGCTGGCCCTGGGTCCCCGTCTCATCCCCCTGGTTCCTGCAGGGATCCGCAACGAGGTAGATAACTGTCCCAGGGTTCCCAACTCAGACCAGAAGGACAGTGATGGCGATGGCATAGGGGATGCCTGTGACAACTGTCCTCAGAAGGACAACCCCGACCAGGTGACTGTGGGCGGCCTCTGGCTTTGGCTGAGCCCCATCCCGGCACAGAGCACCCACCCACCAGCCAGACCCACAGCCTCCCAGTCCAGGATGCCTGGTGGTCCCTGGGGTCAAGAGGACCTTGCTGTGCCACTGGGGGTGGATGTTGTCTGAGCCCTTCTGCTCTGATCTGAATATGGCCCCTCTCCTGCCCCACCCCAGAGGGATGTGGACCATGACTTCGTGGGAGATGCTTGTGACAGCGACCAGGACAAGTAAGGAGGCACCCTGGGATGGGCTTCTAGACAGCCCTGGTGCATCCTTCTGGGTGTCTCATTGTCGCCTTGTCCCACACCCACTCTAGAGATGGAGATGGCCACCAGGACTCGAGGGACAACTGTCCCACAGTGCCCAACAGTGCCCAGGAGGACTCAGACCATGATGGTCAGGGCGATGCCTGTGATGACGATGATGACAACGATGGCGTCCCTGATAGTCGGGACAACTGTCGCCTGGTGCCCAACCGGGACCAGGGGGATGCAGACAGTATGACAAGGGTGGGGCCAGCTGTGGGTAGGCAGTGCTGGGTGGGTGTGGCTGCAGGTGTGGGTGGGTGGGCCTGGGGGCATGGTGTGGCCAGAGCTAAGCCCACTGTGAGGACTGTCTCTTACTTCCTCTCAGGGGACGGCGTGGGTGACAAGTGCCAGGGAGACTTTGATGCTGACAAGGTGGTAGACCAGATTGACGTGTGTCCGGAGAATGCTGAAGTCACTCTCACTGACTTCCGGGCCTTCCAGACGGTTGTGCTAGACCCTGAGGGTGATGCACAGATTGACCCCAACTGGGTGGTGCTCAATCAGGTGGGGGCCAGACCCAGGTTGGGGGCTGGGATTGCACAGGACCCCACAGCAGGCCTAAGTGGGGAGGCAGGAAGAACAGGACACCCATGGCATATCTGAGCCCCTTTTCATCCTTGTTAGGGGATGGAGATTGTGCAGACCATGAACAGCGATCCCGGCCTGGCTGTGGGTGAGCTCAGGGGACAGAACCTAAAGGGGCCATGAAGGCTGGTGGAGTCTGAGGTTGGCCTGTGCTAGTGGTTTCTGGGGGTGGGGTCAGTGCCATGTGGGCGTGGCCATCTGTGGGCTGGGTCTAGAAACAGGAGGAGGAGTCAGATGGTGAAGGGCAGGACCCAGGCCACCACTGCTCTCCACCCACATAGGCTACACGGCCTTCAACGGGGTGGACTTCGAGGGCACATTCCATGTGAACACGGCCACAGACGATGACTACGCAGGCTTCATTTTTGGCTACCAGGACAGCTCGAGCTTCTATGTGGTCATGTGGAAGCAGATGGAGCAGACCTACTGGCAGGCTAACCCCTTCCGTGCTGTGGCGGAGCCGGGCATCCAGCTCAAGGTCCCTCCCGCCACCCTGATGCCATCATGGCTCCCTATCCCAGGCTCCAAACCCCTGTTTCTCCCCAAAGGCCCCCTAAAGCCTCCCTCAGAGGTTCTGGGGCTCTGACCTGGTTTCCTGCACCATGGCAGGCCGTGAAGTCCTCCACAGGCCCCGGGGAGCAGCTGCGGAACGCACTGTGGCACACAGGTGACACGGCATCCCAGGTCCGGCTGCTGTGGAAGGACCCTCGAAATGTGGGCTGGAAGGACAAAACATCCTATCGCTGGTTCCTGCAGCACAGGCCACAAGTGGGCTACATCAGGTGGGGCTGCGGGCACTGTGGCTGGGGGTTGCCTATGCTGTACCCCAGCTACAGGCAACAAAGGGGTCTCAGAGCCCTTTATGTGTGAAATGGAAATGCTTTGCAGCATGATGACGGGGCACGCCTGTGATCCCAGCACTCTGAGAGGCTGAGGCAGGAAGATCCCAAGTTTGAGGGCAGCCTGAAGAACTCAGTGACTTAGGAGATCATCTAGCGTGGCCAGGGGATGGAGCATGTATCCTGGGGTTCAGCCCTCAACACCAAAAATCAGACAAAAGCAAAAGCTTCTTGGCCCTGGGCATGACGCACTGTGTACTGAAGAGGACCCAGCACCTAGGGGACCTTCAGTTAGAACCTGCCTCCAGTCTGTGCTGCTGTGTGCCTAGGTGCCCCACTTGGCACGTACTGTGCTCAAGGCCCTCTGTATCCATTCTCCCAGGGAAACTGAGTCAGGAATCTTGTGGCCTCAGTGCCAACCTCAGTGAGCACCGAGGGGAAGGGGGACTCTCTTCCTGGCTGGCTGCCAGAACCCCGCCTCAGTGTGCCCTGTCCACAGGGTGCGCTTCTACGAGGGCCCCGAGTTGGTAGCTGACAGCAACGTGGTCCTGGACACGACCATGAGGGGCGGGCGGCTGGGTGTCTTCTGCTTCTCCCAGGAGAACATCATCTGGGCCAACCTGCGCTACCGCTGCAATGGTGAGGCAGGGACACAGGATGGGGGGTGGGGGCGGGGCCTGGAGCCGAGCAGGCTTGTGCAGACCCTCACCTGCGCAATCCCTCACGCCTCCCCCCACAGACACCATCCCAGAGGACTACGAGACCCAGCGACTGCAGCTGGCCTAGGGACCAGGTTGGGGACCTGAGGGGCAGAGGCAATAAAGTGTGCCTGTATGGGACATCAGCTGTGGTCTGTGCTGTAGGAGGCGGTGTGCCTGCGTCATGGGCCAGCGTCCAGCTGGGCACTGTCCAGCCCTGGCTTTGGGACGCTGCTAGGTCAGCCACTGCCCCAGTTACTCCGCATCCCCAGCCTGGGCCCTGGTCTCGAATGATCTGGGACCCCTCCCCCAACTCCCACTGCAGATCTGCCCCAGGATTCTGTCACCACCTAGAGTGTAAGGATCCCTGGGGCCTGCCAGGAGGGTCTTGCCTGTGGGAACAGCCTCACATGCCCATGGCTGGGACTCGAGGAAGGGAGGGAAGAGGCAGAGACGAAAACATTGGATTTTTATTACATTTCATTACAAAGGATGCAAAGGTACAAAGACAAAAGCGTCCACGCCAGAGGCCGGCAGGGGCGGCTGAGTGTGCCCTGAGCCGCCCGCCCCGCCCGCCTGAGCCCGCGACACCGCGGTGGTACATGCATGCTGACGGCACAGCCAGCTGCGTAGGGCAGTGCCCGGCAATGGGCAGTTTGCATATATCAGTGGCAGCAGCCGTTGGCAGCTTCCTCCTGTGCCCCTGCTGATAGCCCCTCAGCCTTGAGCCCCACTAGGCAGGGACGACCTGACCCTCGCCTGTGCCACGCATCCCAGGCCCGGGAAGGGGACAGAGGCTGGAAGTAAGGTGGGGGAGGGAGACGCATTCCGGAGCCAGCACCCCAAGGCTTGCCCTGCCCCCACTCTGCCCAGGAGGTACCCAGGGCCCTGAGACCCTCAGGCCTATGACAAAGATAAGGGAAACCGAGACTCAGGTCCTGGGGGCTCACTCCTGGCCCCACTGCCCTTGGGAGTACCCCAGCACTCAGGCATGAGGTACTGGTCACCATTTCTTAGCCCTCCAGGGAGGATGGTGTCTGTGACAGTGTGACACTACAGTCTCAGAGGGAACCCCGCAGGCCGCAGGGAGGCTGAGGACGTGGCTGGCTCAGGCTTTGAAGATGGGCAGGGCCGAGTCACACTCCAGGTGACCCCTGCAGACAGCAGAGGGCCAGGGCTGAAGGACCCAGATGTCCTTCCACAGTTCCCACACCTGAAGTCCCCATACTCAATGGGGACCTGGGTGCCACGGAGTGTCGGGGCCCTGCAACCCCTGGCTGGCAGCTTCGAGGGACTAGGGAGAGCCCAGGGCCTCCCACACCCAACCTGCATCCAGGGCGCAACTTCAAGGGTGCTTGGTGTAGAAGAAGCCAGAGGTCAGGGGGACTGAAGGGCCCCAGGTCCCCCCTAAAGACAGACAGTGACACAGGGGCTGCCCCTGAGGACTTCTGACCCTGCACCCTCATACCCTGGCCCCAGTAGGAACCAGTGAGCTGCCTCTCCTGGTGACACAAGGAGATCCTCCTGGCCAAGGCCCTCGAGGGCCACATATCTCAGTCAGACCCTGCTCCCACATCACCCCGAACCCGGAGACGGCACCAGAGTAAGCAACCTTTGAAGCGGTGCTTGTGGGAGCATGTAGAGGGGGCTCCCCACTTCCAGCCTTGGAATTCCCACCCTTGGAAAGTCAAGGACAGAAGGTAAACTGAGGCAGGCAGGGGCCCAGCATTCTGGGGAGGAGCCCCTTTGCTTCTGTCCCGGGGTGGTAGCCAGGGCACGCGGAGGGGTGGGGCCGACCTGTTCTGAGTACTCGAGGCCAGGTCTATGTACAGGACGACATGGCATCGAGAGGCCCACACTCCCAGCTGGAACCCGGGGACATCACAATCTGTTTATGTCACAAAGGGCCCCTTGCCTTAGGCTGCCTCATTTCCCAAAGTCTTGACAATTCAGGAGTAAATAAGCATAGAGAAATGACACTGAGAACTCAGAAAAGAAAGAAAATATTGCAGGCCAGGAGGCTGGGAGCCCCTCCAGAGTGGGGATGCTTCGGGGGTGACATCCCCTCTGGCCAACCTATCCGCACCAAGATCCCGGACAAACAGAGGCTGGGGGCTGTTCCCCAGGGGACCCCCACCCATGCTTTGTCTGAAGACTGCATACAGACGGGTTGCGCGTGATTTCATTAAGGCCATTTTTAAGAGTTCTACAGGTCTAATGCTGAGCAAACACTATGTACAGGTAGTTTTTCTTAAAAAAGAAAAAAACATAGTCCCCACTCTGCTCCCAGCTTACCCTGCAGTCAGAGACGTTGGCAAGGCTCAACGCGACGGTGGGGGCTGAGGCAGAGTGGCCTTCTCCTGCCAGGGGCCCCAGACAGAGCTCATGGCGGCTGGGACCAGCGTGGGGGTCCTCATAGGCCTGCGGAAGTGCAGCGTTGCCACCAGAGGGAAACACACCAAGCAGGGCCACCCGGCAGGCACCAGGTGGAAACCAGAGCTCCACATTCTGTGGCCGTGGGCAACGGAAATCGTGGCAGCCCCGCCACCCTGTTACCACTCTCGCCTCCACGGAGACGGTCCGCTGCAAGACCTGTCCCTAAAACACAGGCCACTTTCAACATCTACCTCTACCCCTTTCTGGTGCAGAGGCCAAAGTGGGTGACCAGGGGACAGCTGCCTGATGGGAGGGGCAGGGCTAGGTGCCAGGAAGTGTCAGCCTGCCCGGCTTGGGGGTTCATGCTACCTGCCAGCCCCGACACCCGGTGCAGAGGCCCTGGGTGCTGCTGGTGGTCAGGGGCTTCGAGCTGCCCGATCCGGGGTCTGGCAGGCACCAGGGGATGGTGGTGGGGCAGGGCACTCAATAAAGCCGAGGCTGTCCCCCAGTTTGCCATGTGGCCCTGGACTTGGGTCACCAAGTTTCTACAAAGTCCCCACCTGTCCCAGAAGAAAGTGGCTCATTCATGTTTAAGGAACTTGGGAGCAAAAACTAAAAGAGGCCAGGGATGAGGCTGGGGCTGGGTGATGGGGTGGCTGCATCCAAATTTCCAGTTAGCATCAGAGATAGGCAGCGCAGACCTCAGGAGCACAACACATGCGCACAGGCAGGCGGGCACAAGGGCTCAGCGACATCTACAACCAAAAGGTAAATACAAACCAAAGAGGAAGAAAAAGGAGAAAAGCCCAGGATGCAGGTTGCCCGCCCTCACCCCATAAATAAACTGTGCTTGGGAGGGGACGGGACTGGCACAGCATCAGGGCCTGAAGACGAGCCTTGCCTTGCAGGCCTGGCTGGCATCCGGCTGGAGGACGGGGTGGTGTCGGGGTGGGGACATCGCTGCTGAGCATGACCCATCTACACTGCACGCTCTGCCACAGGACTCGGCCATCAAGATAGTGTTTATTTCACCCACGCTCCACGCCCAGCCAGGGCTGGGGGAGACACTGCGGGCTTGGGGTCCGGGGACCAAGAAAGGCAGTGAGAGCTGAACAACAGTCGGAAAGCGCACACCCCCCACCCCCGCGGACACTCCAGCCCAGCCCGCCTGGCCCCCACGCTGGAGCGATGTGGTTGGTAGGCATCTCAGAAGGGACACCTGGCGTTTGAGTAAGGGGACTGTCCCAGCCTGGCACGGGCACTGGGCAGCAGCAGGAGGTGGGTGACTGACAGGAGGTGGGCTGGCGGGGGCGCTCAGTGGCGGCATCACAAGCTCAGAATGACAAGCTTGGCCATGGACGAGGGGCAGAGGCGGCCGTCCCCGGCTCCAGAGGTGCCAGTAGTGGCAGAGGTGGTGGTAGGCTGCCGTGATGGGTGCTCACAGCCGATCCATCCGGAAGGTGTCCTCAGTGGCCGGGTCAGCCAGGACCATGTCAGGGTCATTGAGCATGTGTAGTCCGTCCAGGGTCAGGGGGTCGATCTTGAGTTCATCCAGTGGGAACTGGCTGTCTGGGTCAAAGCCGACGTCACTGACCCCAGCCAGAGTGCTGGTCAGTTCTTTGGAGAGACTTGGGGGTGACTCTCCTGTCACTGGGTGGAGGGACAAAGGACATCACGGCTCAGCCTGGGCTTAATGCAGCCTATGTGTGCTCCCTTGGGTGCCTCTGCTCCAAGAGGCATGGCCACGCCAGGCTGTTACCCTTGGGGGCCGGCAGAAGCCAAGATGCCTCAAGTGATCACAGCAGCCATCAGTGGCAAGAGGGGCTGAGCCCCAGAGCTGAGGCTGCAACACCAAATATGTCAGTGCGACCCAGTGGCAGCAGCGGGGCTCCCTCTGCTCTGTCCCCAGACACAGGCAGGGCTGAGAGTGGGTACGGCACTGGGTTTCCCAGGCCAGCTGGGCCATGGAGTCTCTGAGGGTGCCCCTTTTCCCTGGAGACACCCCCGGGGCCCTGCAAGACTGAGACAACCTTGACCTCCAGACAGCCCTGGCTCATAAGGGGAGCGGAGGGGCCGCTGCTGGCCAGCTTGGGGTCTCACCTGTGAGGATGATGTTGGGGATGGCACTGTGGCTGGTGTAGCCCAGCTGCTGCGCATCCTGCAGGCTCCCAGGGCTGCCTGCCAACCCCATCATGGCCACCTGCGAGTAGCTGAGCGTGGTGCCCGGGCTGTACAGGCCACCGGGGCTGATGGCACCCTCCACCATGTTGAACTGCTCCAGCTGGGGACAGAGCACACCAGGTGGTCAGCACTGTCCCCAGGCATTCGCTGCCACCTTGGCTGAGACCCCCACACCCCTGCGGGTGATGGATGACTCGGAGGAGCACACCCCACACCCTGAGGCCCTGTCCTGGCCGCCATACAAGACCAGCACTGCCCCACAGCCCCTGCTCATGGCCATGCCTGCCCTGGGCTCCATTCTGCCGGGCACCCCTGCTGTGCCCTGGCCTCTGCTGCCCGAGGTCAAGATGGAAACCAAGGGGGCAGGCAGAGTGCCAGCCAGGGTGACTTGGGTGTAAGAGGCCTGGGTCCCAGTGGGTGTCGCTCACCTGGTGGGACAAAGCATTAGCCTGCCTGGCCGACATCTGCTGCTCACAGTATGCGTCCCCAAACACACTGCCCAGCGTGGAGGAGTGCTGCGGATGGAAGAGAGCCACTGGGGTCCCCAGGCCCACCCATGTCCATCTTGGGGCACTGAGGTCTGCCCTGGTCCCAGGTTACTGCTGCTTCCCACTGGCAGTTCCTGGGGGCTTCTGTACCTCGACACTCGCTGTGGTGCCATCCCTACCTCCTCCCCTCAGCCCAAGTGTGGGAGAGTCCAAGACTGCCACAGGGAAGGTGGGGACCCAGGCACAGGCGTCAGCCCTGCAGGAGACCCTGTGGAGCAGGGATGGAGCATGCGCTGGGTGGCTCTAGACTGGCCCCCAGGGACAGGAAGGACAAGACACAAGCCACACACATGGGGCAGGACAAGGCAGAGAGTTGTCCACCAGCTGGGTGGCCACGGGACAGGGCAGGGAGGGCTGGGCTGCCGGACAAAGGGGACCCCATGTGGACTCTTAGAGCCCTTCTGGGGGTGGCGCCTGGCTGGGGTAGGGAGCTGGGCCTCGGAGGAGGAAGAGCACAGAGGAGACAGACCAGCCTGGGCAGGGACCGGAAGGCCCCAGGGGAGCGGCAAGACTTTGGCCGGCCCTACTGCTCCTGGGTATGAGACAGGCCTGGCACCTCTGCTTGAGCACCTGGCTTGGGCTTTGTTCTAGAAAGGCACCCTGTGCCCTGGCTGCCCAGGGCTAGGAAACTGGGGCCTATTCCCTGACAGGAGGACCACAGACCCACTGGCCGCATTTGGGGTGGCAGAGGCTGTGGGAGGGCAGATGATCAGATCAGGTGAAGGAGAGGCTAAGAAGAGGATGGCCAAGAGGCAGAAAAACCTCTTTTCCCTAAAACCCTGCAGCCCCAGAGTGGGGCACAGCTCAGTGGCAGAGTGCACGCCTGGTATGCGCAGGGCCTGGGTTCCCCCAGCACGGCAAAATCAAAACAAGCAGCTCCCCAGCCCAAGCCCACTTCAGGTCCCACAGGGAAATGCAGCAAAGGTTGGGGCTGGGCCCTGCTCAGCAGACGTGAATGCATCCCAGAAGACTTGGCTGGGCAGAAGCGAGGTCAGGTCTCTCCCCTTCTCTCCCACTGGCCCTCGAAATGGACAGCAGACATGGATGGGGGTTGCCGAGACAGGGACATACCTTCTGCTCACCAGGAAACCAGCCTGGACAACAGATCATTCTTGGGAGAGGACTCCTACCCCCTGCCAGGCCTGTTCTGCCTGGCCCACTGGCTGGCACCTCCTCTTACCTTCCCCTAGCAGTGTTCCCACAGAGGCTGCAGGTGCACGCTCCACACTTGAGCGGCAGGGTGGGCAGACCCTGGTGACCCCAGCCGATCTCCCTCACCTTCCCATCCCAGGGCTGCAGGTGGACAGGCATGTGCTCCCAGGACCCTGGAGACCCTGACAGACACTTTAGGGCTCTGGCTGAGCCCACTGCCGCAGTGCCCTTTTCTGTGGGGCAGGGCCACAGGAGCAGAGCTGCCCCAGAGGCTTCCTGGGGTATGGTCCCCAGAGGAAGGGACACAGCCCTAGGGGAGGAGAAGGGTGGCCAGGGCTGGTCTGCCCACTGCCAGCTGACTAGCAGCGCAGTGGTGACTCCAAGCCAGAGGCCACCAGCTCTCCTTTGGGAGTGGGTGCTGACATTGGGCGAGTCCTGGGGGCTGGGGGGGGGTCATCCCCGAGGCCTAGCTGTTGGGCAGGACACCATGGGTGGTTGCCTACACCCACCTCCCACCTCACTGATCTGAGAGAGAAGCCCCTGCCAGCCCTGGACGGCAGTGCTCCCCAGAGACCACAAAGGCACGACAGGAAGATAGCAGCTCCCAAAAGAGAGGTCTGTGTGGGGGCCAGGGATACAACCCTGGGCACAGCGACTACCTGCCTGGCAAGTGGAAGATCCTGAGTTCAATTCCTGGTACCATAAAGGGGTCTGTGTACCCAGAGGTACACCATCTTCTACTTGAGCCTGAATGGCCTAGCCCAGTGGAGGATGGGTGATGGCATGAGGAAGACTGCAAGGAGGCCTGGGCTCTGGGGGCAGTGCGCAGTGGGCATGGCTTGCACTGGGTGGAGCACAGTGGGTGGGGCAGGCGGAGGACACAGACACAGGGAACAGGGCCCTTACTTGTGGGGAGCTCCCAGGTGAGAAGCCTTGATTGGAGACTGGTGAGGTGGGAGACTGGTTGGCTGGGGAGCCAGCACTAGTGCGGTACTGCTGCAGAGCTGGGGCCTGTGAGGACAGGCAGGTCAGGCAGGGTGGCCCCCTGCATCTCCCGCTGCTGCTCCCTCCACACTGGCATCTTGGGGTGGCCTGTAATCCAATGGGCCCAGCAGGCATCCCTATCTGGGATACCAGAGCCAGCTCACAGATGGCCAAAGAACCCAGATGCCCCTGAGCCACCTGAGCTCCACAAAGGGCTAAGAGGATCCCACGGAGCTCTCAGGAGTGGGGGGCAACCTGACTCAGAAGACCTCAGGACCCAACAACACTCAACTACTGACATGTGCCATCCAGACACAAAACACATGTACACACACCCACAAAACCACAGGTGCACACACACATATATACATGCATGCAAACCCATGCACACACACACACATGGCACACCCATATACACTCATGTATGCTCACCTACACAAGTATGCACCCACACAGCTTCATATGTGCACATACCCACTTATGTCCTCACATGCACGGACATGTGCACATGCAGACACACTCCTACTTATGCGCAGCACATGTATTCCCACCTGCACACACACACACACACACACATACACACACACACACACACACACACACACACACACACACACACACAGGTAGCCACAGTCCCCTCCTAACTCCCCTTTGCTTGGTGCCTGGCAGACCTCAGCCCTCTGAGCCCCAGAACTGCAGTGCGCAAGGCTGGCCCTCCTTGCAGGGTGGTCACCAGGGACAGTCACCACAGCAGGCATCACAGGCCAGCTGAGGCATGGAAGGGGCACCCAGGCTCAACCCTGGGAGACAGTAAGGCCAGGCTAGGACCTGGATGCCCTTGCTGGGTCTGGCCGGGCCTTGCGCTGAGCCTCTGGGGCCACCAGCAGAGCCTGCTGCCTGTTATCCTGTAAAGGGTCTCCCTGTCCTTGGGGCCCTTAGCAGGCTGGGGGATACAAGGGGGCAGGCTGTGGGTGGTAGAGGGGCCAGCATTCTCTTGGAGATAATTGGCTTGTGTCTCCTCAGCACCAACCATAGAATTTTTACTGGGCTGAAGGGGGCCTGTAGAAAAACAGGCTGTACCAGCTTGTCCCCTGGGAAGCTGCAGTCACCCAAGAGAGAATCCCAATTCCCTGAAGGGCGAGGACAGTGGTGGGGCCCAGGGTGGACACCATGTCTGCAGGGTCACCTACACTAGGCTGGGCCCCCTGGGGGTGGTCACAGCCCCTGCAGCAGGCACCAGGGAGAGGCTCTGTGCTCTAGCAGGAGGTACAGGATCCCTCCCACAATCAGCAACCTCCTAGGGCCTCCTAAAGCCACCGAAGCCCCTGCTGGGCTAAGGCCCTGCCAAGAGAGACACAGCCTCACAGGCCTTGCCCTTCCTTCACCTCCTCTTTCTGCTCTGTCCCTCAACTTCCAAAACTCTCTTCCTCAGTCTTGACCCAGGAGCAGCAGGGGACAAGAAAGAGAGGAGGGCAGCCCAGCACCCAGGACTACTGGGGAGGGGAGGGATTTGGGCCAGCGACCCTGCCAGTGCCTCAGTTTCCCCATCTACAAACTGGCAACAACCTCGGACTGAGGAGGGCCTGGAACAGCACGTGCTTCCATTCTGAACCCCCTTCCCCTGCTGTTTCCTCCTGTGGCCCTCAGCCAGGTGCCCTGGGAAGTCCCAGGCTTACCGAAGAGATGTCGATCCCCATCGCTGGCGGGCCTGTGCTGTCTGAGGGGGACTGGGGGAGAGAGGACGGTACTGTGACCGCAAGTGGGGGCAGCTGCGGCCCCCGAGTCAGGCTGGCACTGGGCATCAGAGGGCCACCAGTGGGGAGGTTGATGGGCACCTGCGGGGGTGGCTGCTGTTGAGAGGCGGGCGGCGGCGGCGGTGGGGGCTGGGGCTGTGCTGGTGGTGGCTGCTGAGAGCCGGCCTGTGTGAAGAAGGCGTAGGGCAGCTGCTGCTCCAGGGACAGGGCGTCCATGGCCACCGCCTACGGGGGAGAAGGTGTCAGGTGGCATGTGCTGGCCGTGGGGGTGCAGGGCAGGGACAGGCAGACAAGCCAGCCCACAGGGCACCCACAGCGCTCTTCCCTCGGGCACACAGGCAGCTCGGGTGCAGGGACACCATGCTCAGGGGCTCACTGGGAAGAGGCCACCTCAGGGAGGCTAGCGTGGACCCTGCCAGAGGCAGACAGGGGTTGAGAGGCAGAAGGAAGCCAGTGGCTTCTGGAGTCTGCGCAGGAAGGCAGGGCCGGCCCGCATGGAGGCTGATGGGGGTGGGGGTCGGGGTGGGTCAGGGATCCCTCCCTCTGAGTGAGGCTGGTGTGCAGGATGCCTGGCCCCCCAGGAGCAGAGGGGCATTTGGGATTAGAAAGACTTTCCAGCCAGCAATGGGGCCTCACTCCTTTCACCCCAGCACTCTGGAGGCTGAGGTAGGAGGATGAAAAATTCAAGGACAGACACAGTGCATGTGCGAGGCCCTCGGTTGAAATAATTTTTTTTTAAGTGAAACTTCCAAAAAGGAAAGGGACAGAAGGCATGGCCAGGGCACAGCCACACTGTGGACTCCTTGGAAGTTACAGAGATGAGCATGAGGCTGGGGCAGGAAGCAGGCCAGGCATCAGAAGGGCGCAGGCCTTCCTGCTGCCTCTGTAGCAGGTGGACCACCCCTCTGCAGTTAGTAGGTTAAAAGTAAAACAACGCAAGTCCCCTAAATAGGGGCTGGGCTGTGGCTCCACAGCACAGCCCTTGTTTAGCATGTGTGAGGACTTGGGTTCCATCCCGGACTGGAAAAAAGATAGGCAGAGACAGAGAGACAGAGGAGGAACAAGAGGGAGAAGAGCAGGGAGGGACAAGCTGTGTGAAACACCCAAACTACCAAACTCCATGGAGAAGAACTAGGAAATGGCAATGGCCTTAGAAGGAGACTACATCAGTCACTGAAAACCTTCTGAAACGGCTGGGTGAATGCATGTGATCCCAGCATTGGGAGGCTGAGGCAGGAGGATTGCCATAAGTTCAAGGCCAGCCTGAGCCATGTCTGCCTCTAAAAGACAAAACAAAAACAAAACAAACCTCCCAACAAAGATTGGGTGGTTTCACTGGTAAATTTTACCTGGAATTTCGAAGAGAAACTGAAATGCTTCTTATACTTTTCCAAACAACAGGAAATAAACCAATTCCAAACTTACTCTGCAAGGTGGGTGACCTGACTCAAATGAGGGAACTCAAACCGCTAAAATCAGACGTGAAAGTGGGGGCTTTACTACTATCTTTGCAGGGTAACAAGATGAAGAAAGAAACATGAACTGTGGTGAGCCATCCTACATCAGCAGGCTGGAAGCCAAAGTCAAAGGGGCAAATGCACACAAACTATAAAAAGAAAAAGTTAAAAATATAAAAACCACAAACCTAGCACTCAGGAGGCTGAAGCAGGAAGACTACCACGAGTTTGAGGCTATCCTATACTACACAGAACTATCTCAAAAAACCAAAAAATAAAAATAAAAACCCAACTGTAACTTTATTATGAGAACTTTCAACAATCAGACCAAAAGCAAACATAGCTTAATGAAAAACACTTGGTCACACAGGGCCTTCGTTAACAGCCATGGGACCTGCATGGCACATACCCTGCCCCCCATGCCTTTGAGTCCGACGTTTTCTATGGGACTGAAAATCTGAGCTAAAATGTAGACACATCAAGTCGGGCGTAGTAGTGCATGCTTGTAATCCCTGCACTCGACAGGCTGAGGCAGAAGGATCACTGTGAGTTTGAGGCCAGCATAGCAAGACATTGTCTCAAAAAGGAAAAAAAAAAAAAAAAAGTAGCCACGCCAGGGATGCTCTCAGCACCCCACCACCCGCCTTCCGCTCCCTCACCCTCGAACCTGTGTGATGGGTGACAGTGGCGACAAGGTGGGAGACACCTGCTGGGACTGCTGCCGCCTCGCCTCTGTGCCCAGGGCCAGGGGGCTGATGCCCGCTGGCTGGTGCTGTGGCGAAGAGCCCGGTGTGCTCATGCCTAGGAAGGAAGACAGGAAGCAGAGGCTGAGGCGAGGCACTGTGACAGACGGGTCACAACACAGGGACAACCTGGCCTTTGCTGCCCCAACCCTGCCAGCCCTATCCTCTCCACACACTCCAGGGTCCCCCAAGAGGGGCGCATCCACCAGCCCAGCCAATGAGCACTTCTCACTTCAGGACATGCAGCCAGCCCTCCCGAGGGCATGTGACCAAGCTGGGTCAATGAGAGCCCACTGCAGTTCACTGGCGGGAGTCCCAGCAAGGGCGAGTACAGAGCATGGGAGATGGCACAGGCCAGGTGCACCGGAGACCCCCACCCTCTGGCCCCGCTTCAGGACTTCTGGGTTTGGAAAGTTACCCCTTTGTTGCTTGACTGGGCTTCTGTTGCCTTTAGTGCCAAGCACGTCTGGGCTTCTGTTGCCTTTAGTCCCAGCAACGATGTAAACGCAGCAGCCTCTTGGCAGCCCTGCACCTTCTCCGCATGGACACTGGCCCTACCTGCTCCCCTCTGAACCCCCACTGCCCCGCAGCCTAGTCCCCCTCGTGCACACCTCGAGTGTCCTGACCCCCTCCACCTTCCCTCCCTGCCACAAGCTGGCTCCTGCCCGGGCCCCTCACTGCCCCTTCCTTCACCCTGAGCAATCTGATTCCTGGTTCCAGGGTGGTGAGTGAAGCTGGTGAGATCAGGCACAGGGTAGCAGTCAGGGCCTGCAAGGGCACCCTGGGATGCCATGCCAGCCAGGCAGCAGGCCCCCATGAGGATAAGGGAGCCCCGGGGGCCCAGTGTGACCCTCATCCAACCCCGAACCTCGGCTTCGATGATGATGACGCCACCCCACCGGGCTTGCCGGGCAGCCTGCAGGGTCATGAACAGGCTCTGAAAGGGCTTGGCCCGTGGCCAGTGTGGGTGCAGCCGCCTGACTCACTTGGGAGATCCAGGCCCATCCCACTGTGGGTACCAGATCAGCTCTGCTCCAGCAGATGGCATGGTGGGGCTAGGAGCTCATGGGACACACCCGGCAAGCGCTGGGGGCAGCTGCAAAGTCCAACAAGTCTGGTCATGCCTGCAGTTCCCCTTCCTCCGGTGGCCTGTGCCGGAGCCCACATCGAGGGAGGCGGCCCCGGAGGCCCCGCATGGCTCGAAGCCGGGGTGAGGACCTGGGCTGTGTCACCACCAGACACCAGGTGCTCTGTGCACCTTGTCTGCTGGCCACAGGACACCTCATGCCAGGTCTAGGGCAGATGCTAGACCTCCACAGGGCAGAAGCAAAAGCTGAGAGCACGTGGGGGTGGGAGTGACCATAGGGGCAAACAAGCTTGGTAGCCAATAGTGGGGTGTGGGGCACCAACCCAAGGCTCCAGACCTGCCAAAGTTACTTTTCCCTCCCAAGTGCCGGGGATGGAACCAAAGGCCTCAAACATGCTACACTGCTGTGTAGAGCCACATCCCCAACGCTTTAGAAGAAGTTCATCTCCTTTCCAGTTATTTTGAGACAGGGTCTCCCTCTAGAGCCTAGACTGGCCTCGAATTTGTGGAGATCCTCCTGCCTCAGCCTGCCCAATGCTGGAATTATAGGCATGTGCCACCACATCTGGCAGAAGTTCTCTTTTTACTGCCACAGCCTGGTGAAGCTGCCCAGCCTGGCCTCAAGTTCTCACTTCTGCCTCAGCCTCCCCATGTATACCATGCTGCCTGACTCCCTTCTAATTCTCCAGAGTTCTGCACGCACTTTCTGGATTTTTAAATGTCAACCTGAAGTTTTACACACATGCTCGTGCATGTATACAGACACATTCATGGACCACAAAAAACACAGCAGCAGCGCACTTGGCCCTGGGCCTACCAGCCCCGGCCTCTCTCCTCACTACAAGGGCGTCTGAATCCACGGTGGGCTTCCAGGCCAACTCCTGGCTTCACCACCCGGGGAGAGGCCAGCTGGGCTGGCAGGGCAGATGGGGCACCTTACTGCAGAGCCCTTTTGGCAGCCTGGGTCACCTTTCAAGCAGGAGTACGGCCAGCTAGAAGGGAAGTCTGGGGTGGGCAGCTGATGAGAGGGGCGGGCAGGCAGCCCAGGTGGCAGGGCTCACCCCATGGCACACAAGGCCTACTGGTGGGGCCAGCTGGCCTTGGAGCTGTGCCAGGCACGTCACTGGGGCCTGTCCTGCTCCTCTGCACTGGCAAGCCACCAGGGACGCAGCCTGGGTGAACGCAGAGGTGGTAACAGGGTGCATGTCTCCAGCCTACCCGCCCCCACAAGGTGGCAGAGGGGCTCGGAGGGGGCAGGACCCCTTGTACACCAGGGGCCAGAGCTTGGCCTGACTTAAAAGACCCCTAGAAAGCAAGGCCACTGGGGGAAGGGCAGGCACATAGGCCACACCCAGGGAGTACGCTGCCCTGAGGGCATTCAGATCCCAAGGCCAAAGGGCCGGGTGGAGGGCACCCTGGAGATGCTCCCCAATAGCTGCACTCCTGCCTAGCCATGTGGGAGCACTTGTGGCTGCGTGGGTCTCGTTCTCACCCTGTGTGATGGAGATGCCGACCTGGCCAGATGGGGTGTACCTGGGGCTTCCCTGAATCTGCTCCTCCATGCCCTCTGCCTGGCAGTGGAGCCCTGGTAGGCACGGGGCCAGAGTGTGAAAGGACACAACTGCTGCCCTGGGCTGGCCCCGCACCCCTCCCCAGTTGCAGCCTCACACCCTTGGCTGCCAGCCCAGGGCAGGGCTGGGTGCGGCTGTGCTGAGCGCTCTGGTTCCCCCTCAGCCTCCGCCCCCTGCCTGTACCTGTCCTGGGGGCCCTGGTCTCGAGCACCAGCCACCCTGAGGTCCCTGGGAAGCACCCATAGCAGTTCCCAGCCCCTCCCCAGGGAGGAACCTGTGCACAGGTCCCGCTGAACACAGGTTGGGTCTGAGGGCAGCCCTGTGGCTCGGTCAGGACAAGCACACTGTGTCCCTCCAGTCCTGGCCGGTTCTGTCCCTCAGGGTAGGTTGGACCACTGCTGTCCTCTACTCCCGTGATACAAAACACCCCACAAAGGAGCGTACTGTGGTGTAGGTACACAGCAAGGACTGGGGAAACTGAGGCCCAGCCTGGGGGACGGATAAGGAGCAAAGGACAAGTGAACATGGAGAAGTGGCTGTTGTGAGAGGTGATAGCCGAGTGCTAGCAGAACTGTAGGGCTGGGCAACTCCTGCAAAGGCCCTGAGGTCCCTTCCCTAGCTATGCAGCTTGAGGCTAGGAGACAGAATCAGAGAGCAGGTGGCCCTGGCCCTGGCCCTGGTCATCTTGGGGTCTTGTGGGGCGGAGACAAGGGGACCCCTGCCACCCTCAGTGGAGCCACCAGTAGAGTTCTCAGGAGGATAAGTAAGGGACCAGGGATGGGATGACCTCACAGGCAGGCCAAGGGTGATGAGTTTGAAGCTCAGGTGATGCTAGGCTGTCTGCCAGGCCAGCCACGGTACAATGAGCCAGGTGGGCCTGTCCTGTGAGGGGGCAGTGAGGAGGGTAGCCTGCCTGGTCCCTGCTGCCCTCCAGGGCTCCCCAGCTTCCCAGGGGGCCCCAAGCGCCTATCTGCGCTGCCCATTTCTGCCCACCCAGGCCCCCACAGGCCAGGTGCCGAGGCCCAACAGCCTCACCCTGGCTGGCACCGCCGAGGCCAAGGTGGGTCAGGTTGCCTGCCAGGTTGCCGGTGCTGCTGGAGCCGCTGAGCGCGGGGAACGGGGGCTCCTCGGGATCCAACGGGGTCGGCAGCGGGGACGGGAAGTGAATGTTGGTCAGGTCGGGCAGGGAGCCCCCCGTGTTGTGGGTGGCGGGGATCAGGGCCGTCGTGCTCTCCTGGTCGGTGGACGGGAAGATGCTGGGGAGAGGCCAGACCGGCAGGATGAGCTTGGGGCCTGGGGCTGCGGGATACCGCGGGAGGGGCAGGGGGCCCCAGGGGATAGAGGAAGGGTCCCCAACAGGGCTTGGCTGTGTCCGAGGGCAGGGATTCAGCAGGTATGCAAGCTGGGGGCCCTGAGGGGACTTACTTGATGCCAGGGACCTCGCAGGACTTGGGCCTGGACCCGGTCTGAAGGAAAAGACAGCAGAGGCTGAGCAGGTGGCCCAGCCTAGGGGCCCCAGGTGTCTCTCCCCAAAATGGACAGTGGCACTCCCAGGGTGTGGAAGAGCTGCCCCAGATGCCACTGGGTAGACAGAGCAGGTGTGGGAGGATACACAGGCCCTGGGGACCCAGTGTCCTGGGAGCCCAAGCCTGGAAACCATTCCTGCTGCTGGCAGAGACTGGCAGGAACCCAGGTCACTGGAAGCCTCCAGCAGCTCCATCTTGAGCGGGCAGGACACAGAGCAGGGGCCGCCCCTGCACCATGTGGCTGGGAGCCCCTGCTATTCAAGGTGTTTGGACTTTTCACAGCAGAGTCTGCATCGCCATGGGGGTAGGATGCACTTCTGGGCAGCTTCCTGGGGTGCTGCAGGCTGTACCCTACATCCTGAGTTCCTGCTCCCAGAGGTGAAGCAAGGCCAAGCTGGTGGACAGACACCTGGACCCCATGCTTAGGCTCTGTGGGGACCAGGCAAGGGGAGCCCCCAGGCTCAGAGGAAGGGAATGCCAGTCCCCCAGGAAACACTGGCTCCAGGAGGGGATGCCCCCCAGCCCTGCTGCTGGCCTTCAGTGAGCATGCAGTCAACCATGCAGGAGACAGGATGGGGCTTGAGAACAGAGTGAAAAAAATGCACCCAAAGTTCTGGGGCCTGGGAGTGGGAAACCACTCCCACCTGCTGGGGAAGGGGTGGGCAGGGTGCCCTGTGAGCACAGAGCACCACTGGGGCACGCACAGACCAAGACCTGCCTTCCTGCTACCGGACAGTTAGCCTGGCTTCCGGTTTGGTTTGGGGGGTTTGCTCTGGGGATCCCTGGAGAGCCCACCCTCACTGTGTTAGGTGAGCACGCTGCTCCGGCTGCACCGGCCCTTTCCAAACAGCTGGATCCTGCTCGCCCTGGCTGATGGCAGTACTGTACACAGCTGCATTTCCTCATGGCTCCTTTATTTCTTATTTTGCAGAACCAGGGATAGAACCGAGGGTCTTTGTGTGGAGCCATAGCCCCAGCCCATTTCGATTTTTCATTTTGAGACAGAATCTTGCTTAGCTGCCCAGTTGGGCTCAAACTGGAGATCCTCCTGCTTCAGCCTCCTGAGCAGCCAGGATTATAGGAATGCACCAAAGTGCCTGATGGGATAAAGACCTCTGCTCCTGTCCTTGTCACTGTGACTTAAGGGCAGAGGGTTGGTACTTGGTGTGTCTCTTGCCAGGGTGGCAGGCCTGGTATTACCAAGGCACAGAGCTGAAAACACTAGGACTCAGCACGGACCAATCTTAGTGAGGCTTCTTGGGGACGAGGGAACTGCCTCAGTGATGCGCTGTGGCACCCTGGGCCGAGCCTGGGAAGAACCAGGTGAACTGGGCAGCTTTACCTTCTTGGCGTCCCAGGCCGGCTTGGACAGGGTCTTGTCTACCTCCGACGTGGCCTCATCCATCCCAGGAACTGTCAACAGTAAGACTGGGGTGGGGACAGGGGCTGTCAGCAAGCATGGAGCTGTGGGACGCGTCCTAGGCCACTGGGCCTGCGCAAACCCTGTTGGAGGCTATGGCCAGGCTCTGCCAGGACCTCTGCACCAGAGAGGGAAGACACCTCGTCTTGCCACAGTGAGAACAGGAGCTCTGCCCCTCCCACCTCCACTAGCAGGCGGGCAGCCAGGTGGGCACCACTTGAGCCCCCGGGCCCTGTGTCCCCAGCACAGCCGTCCCTGGGCTGCTCTCTAGAGCTCAAGTCCTTGAACTGAACCCAGGACCACCATGCTGATTGAGCTACAACCTCTGCCTTGTACTTTCAATTTTCCTTTTTTAAAACTTTGATACAGGGAGCTGGGGATGTAGCTCAGGGGCACAGCATCCGCCTGGCAAGCGTGGTCCTGGGTTCAATTTCCAGTACCAAAGAAATCCCCCCAAACCCAAACTCACAGGGCCTCACTTCTGACTGTGTCCCTCAGCCCTCCCTGTCCCACACCACAGGCTGGGCCTGCTGGAGCCCAGTGGATCTGCGCGCCACCCATACCTCCCTTCTGATGTGTGTCCTGAGAGCCGCCTGCAAAGGGCTCCGGCTGGGCCGGAGCCATTGTGCTCTGGTGCAGCGCGGAGTCGGAGTTGGTCCTGCAGGGAGAGACAGACCTGACATGAGCTTGGGGCAGCAGGGGCTCCCCAGGACAGGCGGTTGGCGGGGTCCCTCGGCAAGGGCCCCGACCTGACTCCAGCCCAAAGGGCACCGTAGGGCCGGGCTGGCCTCTGCGCCCAGCCAGAGCCACCTTATAGTGCACAGCCGCCCAGGGAGGAAAGGTTGGGCTGCACTGAAACCCCAGGCGGAAGTGCTGGTCCCATGGCCCTGCAGGAGGCTTGAGGGACAGAGATGGGGCCTGGGGTGTGTAGCTACTCCCACCAGCCAGCCATGGAGGTCGTGGGGACCACTCCACTCCGGGCCCTGCTGGAGGGAACTGAGGGCAGCAGAGTGACCCAGGCTGCCCCCAAAACAGCTTCCCAGGACAGGAAAAGGTTGTGTTGGGGCACACAGCTGGGAGCTTGAGGAGGACACAAAGGGCTGGGGGCCCCTGATGGGCATGGAGTGACCAGGAAGGATCCTGGTTCCCGGAGAAAAGTCATGAGGGCCCCCAGGGCTGTTGTCCCTCTGAGTCCTCGAGCCAGGGTCGGAGGTCCCCTCTCAGCCCCTTCCCCTTCTGTCTCCCTCCTTCCACCTGGGGGGGGGGTGACCCCAGGGCCTTCGGGTGCTGCAGCCCACCCCCCTTCTATTGTGAGACAGGGTCTGCAGGAGGCACCGAGCGGCCTAGGCCGGGCTAGAACTTGTGATCCCCCTGCCTCAGCCATCAGCATGCTGGGGTTGCAGGGGTGCACCAGCCACACTCAACCTTCTAGATCTTTCTTCACAACAACAATGATGAACACTGTTTTTTCCTTTGATAGGTATAGATGTGTGTTTCCTACTTTTCTAACATAAACGTAAAACACTTATAATTTTTCAGTGACTACTCAGCCACACAAAAAACATGATACAACACTGCTTTGGAGAAAAATGAGCAGCCGGGCACGGTGACACAGGCCCGAGGTTCCAGCTACTCAGAAGGCTGAAGCAGGAGAATCACTTGAGTCCTGGACCTCGAGAGCCCATCTCAAAAACACAAACAAAATCCAAATGAATGAAATTAGCAATGGAGGGAATGAAATAAATAAAACCAAAGCATGGAACGTCCGATTTTGGTTTCATGAAACAAGCCAAGAGTGTTAGTCATAATGAGCAGCGGCTTCCAGGATTCCCGAGCCGGACCATAGCAGGGTGTGGGGCAACGACACTGACCTCCTCCAGCTGCTGTCCGCAGGTGGCGAGAGGTACACGGTGCCGTAGGGACAACTGTCAGCTTGTGGGGAGTTAAGGGGACACAGCTGTCACCAGACCCACTCAGGCCCGCCAGGCCCAGACCCTGCCCCAGGAGCTGCTCTGGTCGATCCAGGGCGCCCTGCGCCTGTGGACCCCTCATACACATGTGTCTGGATGTGGCAGGATTGAGGCTCAAAGCCCACCATGTCCCTCAATCCTGCAACATCAGAGGTGTCACTGCCACCAGGAAGGCCCCCAGCTTGGCCTGGTTCCAACTCAGGGCTGCAGGAGCCACCAGGCTGGGCTCTCCAGAGGCCCCACTCTGGGAAAGGATATCTGCCGTCCATGCTTATCCACTGACAGGGGCCGGCGGTGTGGGGACCCGAGGCGGCCACGTTCACGGTATACTCTGTCCACTAGCCCATGGTGGCGGGTGGTCCGGCTGGTGTCCAGGCCTGAGGACTGGAAGGGTGTCTGGTGACGAGGGAGGGATGGGGACAGGAAAGGAGGGAGAGAGACCAATGCAGTGGTTACAGATCGAGGCCTGGGGCTGCCCTAGTACCCGGGATCAGATCTTGGGGACCCCGCTCCAACACCCCAGGTGCCACGCTGGGGCTATGTGGCCTTCTCCTGTGGCCCAGCTCCCAGCCCTGAGCACTGGGGGCACGCAAGCTGGTATGGTGTCCCAGGCTGGGGACACAGGCGAGCAGGACAGCTGGCATGCACGGCCAGGCAGAGCGGCAAGCTCGGGGCCCAGCACCGGCTGGGAGCCAGGGTGCAGCGGCCGAGCAGCCCATCGCCAGGTGCACCCAGGCTTCCCCCATACCCGTCACCCCAAGGGGCTGCCAAGACAGGGCCAGGCTTCTGGCACAGCCAGCTGCCTGCGTGCACCCGGGCTTGGGCGCCAGCCTGGGCTGCCCTTCCCATGTACCCAGACCCTGCTGGAGCCAAGGTAGACACTGCAGCCAGGCCTTCCTGCCACCACCAAGCCGAAGGAGTCTGAGCTCCGCCCGCCCTGGCCCTGCGCTGCCCTCCTGCGGTTGGACCAGGCGAGTCGGCTGCCTTAGCCAGCTTGGGGCATGGCAGGGCGTCTGCCTGGCCATCTGGTTCCCAGCCTGGCTCCTGCAGGCAGCTGGGCACAGGGCGAGGCTGATGGGAGGGGCCTCCTTCACTTCGGTGCCCATTTACCCCAGGTCGGTCTGGACCCAGGGGATTGGCTGGGGGTCTCCTTGCACCTTCACCCCCTGCAGGCAGGCTATGGGCCGCGGAGGGTGGTGAGCAGGCAGGGCAGAGCCCACGCAGCTCCAGGCAGTGCCAAGGCCCACAGGGGACCCTGAAGGCAGAAGCCAGGGTAAAGAAAGGGATGCGCCTAGCCTGCAGCCTTCCCTGTGCACACGTGTGTGCACTGTGTGTTCATGGGGATCATGCAGCACAGGGCACATGCTCAGATCCCGCTCGGGATGCCCTGGCTTGGGAGACACAGTGCAGCATCACGCAGCTGGACCCGGGGCCTGGGGACCCAATGTGGCCAGCAGCCTTCCTGAGGTGGGGGGTGCGACACCCCCTGGGAGCTACAGGGTGGTCAACAGGCAAACTCGGGACGCTCAGTGCCCACACACGTGTTGGGTCTTGACTGGCGCCAGGGATGCCACGGCCTCAGCCTGGGGTCTCAATTACCAGAGAGACAGGAGCCGCTGCCAGGGCCTCCCCCAGAAATCCGCTGGGCTGAAAATGCAAGAACCAAGACTTTGAGATGCCTGGTCGGCAGAGTGGGGGTCCGGGCTGCAGATGCCCAGTAGGACTTGCATCCCCTGGCCTGGGAGCACATGGGCAGCCCTACCTACTCGAGCGGGAGGTATCGGGAGCCAGCCTGCTGGAGAAGACAGGACCCTTGGGGCGAGTCAAAGTGACATAGAGCCTCGATGTCTATACCCCTAGGATACACCCCACCCTTCCCACAAAGGGTGGTGGGGCTGATGTAACTCGGTGGCAGGAGGGACACTGAGCTCTCCAGGGTCAGCGTGGTCCCCTTAGCCCACATGACTTGGCTGTCTCCAAGCCAAGTCCTAGGCGGCCATCAGGATCTGCCCACGCAGGCTCTGTGCTGGCTTGGACCAGGAGGGGCCACCGCTGGGTCTCTGTCTGGAGGGTTTAGGTAGGGGGCAGGCAGCGGGGCCTCCCCAGAACCCTGGGGGACTGCAGATGTGAGGTGCTGTTTCAGGGGGTAGGGCACTCACCTGGAAGGACAGGTCTGCAGTGCCACTTCCGATCTGGTTCACGTTGGGCAGGGACCCACCATAGTACTGGCCACGGCTCGGGCCCAGCTGCAGGTACTGGGACTTCTGAAGCTGCAGCTGCAAGAGAAGCAGCGGCTGCGGTGACAGGGTGTGTGTGAGGGGCTGCGGCTGACACCTCAGGAGCTATACACCCCAGCCTGGGCCACTGGGGACTGAGCAGGAGGACACCAGGCCTAGCCCCTGCAGAGCAGTCCGAGAGGTCCCTGGGGCTGGCTCAAGTCTCAGCCAAGGGCTCTGTGTGATGCAACCAGAAGAAAGCATCCATCTGCTAGCCAGAGCCAGGTACAGAGACCTGAGCGCAGACCTGGGCACCCCTGCAGCCCCCACGGGGCCAAGAGCCCTACCTGAGCCCCTGGGCCCCCTTTGCACGTTCTGAGCCAGGCAACACAGATGCTTGGGCTGGGCCTGTAGCTCCTACCTGCCTGGCTCCCTGGAGTGGCCCCTGTGGACTCGAGAGGACTCGTGAGGCTGTGTGGCCCCAGGGGATGAGGTGCCACTATGACACAAAGGGGCAACAGCTGGGTCCTCCCATGCAGTTCCCTCTGGCCAACCTGGCTTCCTGGGGCACTGAGCACAAGCCCAGGTGGACAGCTGTTTCCTGTGGGCCCAGGAGGAGACGGAGGCCTGCCAGACTCTGGGCCAGCTCAGGGTAGGCAGGGTGGGAGCCCTGCTCCCACCTGCCCCTTCCAACACACCCGTCCGTGCCTCCTGTGGTTTTGCATGGGAGCCTGCCCCGAAGCCAGCCTTTGTGGACCACGAGGCCAGGGTCCTTCTGCTCCACGTTCCCCTCCCCAGAATGAGTAGCACAGACAAATCCAGGGGCAAGGGGCAAGGAAGGGGCAGGCTTACATCGCACAGGCTTCAGCTGCTTCTGGCTGGGCAGTTGAGGCTAGCTCGGCCTCCTGGGCTCTGGGATAACAGGAAAGCACTGTAATCTCTGCAAATGCTGGGCATGCTTGTGCACAGTGACAAGGCCCAAGTACAGGAGTGCCCTGAGGCTGCCCCAGGTCGCTACAGAAAAAGTGTCACCCTATCCCAGATCCAGGGTCACCAAGAACGGCCTGTGCTGGCTGTGATCTGGGGGAAGCCACGGCCATGAAGCAGGGGCCAGTGGAGACAGCCGGGTGCCAGGCACAGGCAGCCCGGCAGGGAGGGGACCCCTGAAGAGTCCCGACTGGCTGCTCCTGGACACCGCCTCCCCACACCGGAATAAACCACAGCTGAGTCCTCTGTGAGCTGTCACTGGCAGCAGACCCTTCCTCTCGATGGGTTAGGGTGAGACTGGCCTAGCCTTGACCCTGTGACCCTTGCCCTGGCCGCAGAAGCAACTGCAAGTCCCTTCCCTATCACAGCAGCCTGGCCTCCACCGGTGTCATCACTGTCCCCAGATGGGACACCTGGGCACTGATCACACACTCTGACCTAGGTCACAGCCCACATCAGCAGCCTGTGCAGGAGGAGTAAATGAGGGGCACGGGAGAACAGATGGACAGGTGGATGGCTGTGTGGGTGGATGATGGGAGGACAGACAGATAGACGAATGAAAGGAAACCCTGCTGTTCCCAACTGTACAAGCAGGTGACAGCCTCTCTGGGAGCTGGGCCGGCTGCTTGATGCACCTGCCAGGAGGCCAAAGTGGCTCAGAGCTGACGCAGGGCTCCTGCTCCATCCTCCTGGTCCCTGGAAAGCAGGGAACAGCTGAGAGAGTGGGGCCCAGAGGACCCCAGTGCTCATGCCAGGCAGCCCAGCACCCAGCTCCAAGCCCAGGCTCCCCAGGGGAAATGCCCGGGCCCGGGAGGAAGTGCCAGGCAGGAGTGGTTTCACATTCGCCCGGCAGCCCCACCAGTGGAGGGCAACGCCCGCAGGGAAGGGGGAGTAGTGTTAGCACAGGGAGTGGCAGGGTCACAGGAATGACGAGGGTGGCAGAGCACCCCTCAGCTGCCTCCCCAAAAGCTCAGCTCCTGGGCTCAGGGGCGCAGCTGCCAAAGTCACAGCGACGGCCCTAGGACGGCACTGACCCTAGTGCTCTGCCCAGATCCTGGGCCTCTCGTGGCCATGACAATGGATGCATAGGAAATAGCTGGCTCTGAGCTGCCCTTTCAGATCCTGAGCTCCGGCCTGCCAGTGGCCACTGCATCCAGAGCAGGCCACACAGCCGGGGAGGGGGGCGCGCCAGACCATCCTGCCCACCTGGCCTCCAGCCCAGTGGCTACTGCTCCCAGATCCTCCTAGAAGGCCAAGGTGTTGGACCTCAAGGCCTCAGCGGTCTCAGCCCTGGCCCTTGGTGCTAGGGGCTGGAAGGCAAGGGCCCAACAGAAGGTGACCTCTTAGCCTCTGGCCGCCTGGGCCGCGTCCCTGGCCTAGTCCTGCAGGATGGCAGTTGGCAGGGATGCTGAGCATCATGGGGCCACCATGGCACAACCCACCTGTTGTCACCCAGCCCTGAACCCACATGCTACAGGGCTGGGATCTCAGGGTATTGGTGTCCCTGAGCTGTGGCAGTGGCATCTACTCTGTCAGGATGTGGCCTTCTCTGGTCTCAGTCCCTCTCCCCTGGCTGTCATAGCTCACGGCTCTGCGGCTCCACCACGTAAGAGACCTGGGAGTGTGTGGACACAAGTGTCTTCACAGCCAGGCCTGGGGCTGAGGGTGGGACCCGAAAGACGGGGCTTAGTGAGACCCACCTGAGCCCTGTGGGGCGCACAGGCTCCAAGGTGCAGACAGTAAACCAAGGCCCAGCAGAGGGACCCAGCCACTCAAGTGCCTGGACCCCACCCTGGACCTGGAACTGGAGCCCTGCATGTCCGGCAGCACCAAGCCATGGTGACACACTTGGGTTCCACACCCAGGCCTGAGGGAGCCCCTGCTCTCTGGCAGGGCCCCCACCTCCGAAGCCGCCTGCACATGCGTCCCAGGCCTGTATACACTCTCCCTCCACACACCCTTATGGGCTCCCCATGACACTCCCAACACAGGGCACTGGAGGCCAAGTGGCCTGGGTAAGACCCGTGTGGCCACTTCAGCATGGGAAGATGCCTGGGTGGCCCCCAACTCCTGAGAAATTCTGTACAGAATGAGGGGCCCCCCACCCATCAGCACCCCAGGGTTCATCTGCAGACAGAGATGGCCTTGGTCCGGCCAGGGCTATGGGCAGTCGTCATGGCAACAGAATGGCCTTCTAATGAGATTAAGGAAATCGGCCAGCTGCCACTGACTGCTTGTGTGGGGCCAAGCTGCAGAGGGGATAGAGGTGTGGGGTGCTCTCTGCAGGCTGTCCCCTCACCAGGAAGGCCTGTGGGGCCCCCTACTGTCCCTGCCCACTGCATTCCCCTTGCATGGCCTCTCCAGCAGCCAAACCAACCCCTGCCTCAGGACCTTTGCATAGCCACCACCTCACTCTGCATCTTGCCCCAGCAACCAATCCTTCCTCCATTGCTTAGGGCCTGGTACTTGCCTGTGTCTGCGTATCACCCCCACCCTGTCACCCCTCGGGGCCTGGGAAAACTTGTGGAGTGGCAGAGGCACTCAAAGCATGGCTGGGCACAGCAACAGCTCACAGACAGCACTCAAGGCCTGGGGACTGTGTCTCCTGCAGGACACAGTCCCCCTACCCTGTCAGGAGGGGAAACTGAGGTTCCAGAATGACAGAGGTCAGGGGTGCGGAATTTCCAATCTGGTGCAGGTGGTGCAAGCACCTGACAGAGGGGCTCGAATGCCTGACCCACAGCTCCCCACAGGCGCTGAGCACTTGAGCCCTGGGTGCTGTAGGGTACACATCTGGAGCCAAGCTTAGCACCAGCCAACTTTGCAGGGCCAGTTTGGCTGACACAAGAGCAGCTTGCCCTCTGCAGACGCCATGGGTCAGCCTGGCACGGAGTACTACTAGTGTAAACAGGAGACCGTCATCTGGCCAGACAGATAAGGTGTTGCCTGCAGGAGCCTGCATTCCTGCTGGGGACAGGTGTCAAGCACTGGGTGTCAAGACATCGAGGAGATGGCAAAGAAAAGGACAGCAAGACTGGCAGGTGTAAAGGTCCTGGGGCTACAGGCAAGGGGCCTGAGGACTATACGGGCAGCTGAGGGAACAAGAGCATCTTGTATGCTGACAGCTAGCACTCTTCCTGCAGCTCTGGGTGGAGCCACCCCGCCCTGCCCTGCACTCGCAGTGGCTAAGACCTCAGTGTCCACACATGGCCTGACCAGTACATATCCCCCAACCCACATCCCAGCAGGCAGGGCTCCCCTGCCTCCCCAGAGGGGGTGAAGCCTCGCACCCCCAACTTTTGGGCTTCTGGACCATGAGCTTCTCTGTGGCTCTGAGGGCAGAGAGAACAGCACATCACAGGGGCCAAGACGAGGCTGGTACCGGCTGCGTGCCATCATCCCCCAACCTAGAGACTGAGGCGGGAGGATCCAAGTTGGAGCAGCCTGGGTGCCTACTGAAGCCCTGCTTCAAAATAAAAAGGGTAAGCTGGGTGTGGTGGCTCACACCTGTAATCCCAGCACTCAGGAGGCTGAGGCAGGAGGATCCTTGCAAGTTCGAGCCAGCCTGGGCTACAAAATGAGCTCAAGGTCAGCCTAACTGCATAGTGAGACCCTGTCTCAAAGACAAAAAAATAAAAAAATAAAGGGCTGGAAACGGCTCCATGCAAAAGCCTGGGGTTCACTGCCCAATAACAAAGAGAAAAAGGCCTAAAAGCATTTCTCAGAGACCCAACACCGTATGGGTTGGGCTAAAGACTTCACACTAAAAACCCCACCTCACAGGCCAGAGGATGCCATCCTGCACACAATGGGGTTTGCCACTTCACCACACACTGCCTGGGAGCCTGGGCAGCGACAGGGGAGGGCATGGGGATGCCGGATCAGAGGGCGGACACGTGTGGGATGGGTCGGGGATGCCCGCGTTGCTGTGTGGGAACAGCACTCTGTGGTGGGGAGGCAGCTTCCCCCACACTGTCCCTGCTCCATCAGGCATGGAAACATGGGGCGTAGTGCAGGATCCAGGTCCAGCCCCCAGCCCCCCGGAGCCCGGGTCCCTGTGGCCCCCACTGCCC